TATCCAAAATACAAAATACAAAAATAATCCAAAAATAATATCCAAAAATTCAAAAATAATCCCCACAGGTGTAAATAATTTTCTTTCTTCTTTCAAAAGCTCCTTCTCAATACCCGCAAATCCTGATGACAGTACACCTCAAAAAAAAAAAAAACTCAACATAGTATCATACCTTTTAAATAATAAATCACATGTGCCACTCACTGTGCAGCATGCAAATTCTATATATGTGTATACTCTATACACGAGTATCAATACACATGCATATATTATAGTGAATGAATATATGTGAAACACTCTCACATAGAATAGTGTCCTAAGCCCAAAGTGTAAAACAACTCCAAAAAATCACTGCAAGTGTGTATCACCACACCCTGTATACATCAGTGATCAGTGAAACGACACTCTCCAACACATATACTGATGGGTAATTACCCTATATAAGAAATATCAAGGCATAACACCACTCAGGGTTAGATTTCTCCTCATCACGATTTCATCCAATATTAGGGTTTTTCTTCCATTATCCTCAAGTAAATCCACAATCCCAGATACTGTATAAAATATCCTCCTTTATTTGGTAACTCACATACACATTTCAGTGAAAACAGCTCCTCCTCACAGGGAATCCAAGTGTAGACAGAATCAGGGAAACATTGGCCACATGTTCCCACTTCCAAGATGGCCGCGATCGCACTTCCGGTCAGCGTCGATACGTCTGACGTCACGTGTTACTGACGCGTTTCGTCACTTCCTATGACTTTTTCAGAAAAAGGTATGACACTATGTTGAGTTTTTTTTTTTTTTTGAGGTGTACTGTCATCAGGATTTGCGGGTATTGAGAAGGAGCTTTTGAAAGAACAAAGAAAATTATTTACACCTGTGGGGATTATTTTTGAATTTTTGGATATTATTTTGGATTATTTTTGTATTTTGTATTTTGGATATTTTGATATTTTGGACTATTTTTTTCATTTTTATTTGTATGTTTTATTATTTTGTCACTTATTTGTGAAAGGGAAAAGTTTTATATCTTTGTTCAATTAACCTTCAAGGGTGGAGGTGATAACTTTTCTGGGATATTATAAGGTGATTTGTTGCTGTGCATAAATTTAAACAGCTGAGGCCAGTTACTTCACTGCGTATATGTAAGGGTTTACATCCACTTTAAACACAGATCTTAATAGAAGAGCTGTCACTTTAAACAAGCCACTAACAGGCTTCAGCAGGCTTTCAACAAGATTTAAATAGTGACTGGTTTTATTTATTTCCAATTTTAATGTAACCACTTGCCCTCCTGAGGATTTCCCCCCTTCCTGACCAGGCCATTTTTTGCAGTATGGAGCTGCGTTACTTTGACAATTGCGTGGTCATGCACCGCTGCACCCAAATGAAATGTGTCCTTTTTTTCCCACAAATAGAGCTTTCTTTCAGTGGTATTTTTAATTTTTTGCGCTATAAACAAAAAAACCTGACAATTCTGGAAAAAAAAACAATATCTTTGACTTTTTGCTATAAAACACAGCCAGTAAAAAATTAAAAAAAAAATCAAATTTTGTCATAAATTTAGGCCAAAATGTATTCTGCTAAATGTCTTTGCTAAAAAAAAATCCCAACACATGTAAAATAATTTGTTTACGTGAAAGTTATAGCATTTACAAATGGGGATTTTTATTTTTATCTTTTTTATACTAGTAATGGCAGCGATCAGCAACTTATAGCGGGACTGCGGGGGGCATTCTGACACTAGGGGAGGGAACTGACTAACTGCCACTGACATCCCAATGACAATAGTACAGTGATCAGTGCTAATAAAAAGCACTGACACTGTACTAATGGCACTGCGCAGGAAGGGGTTAACAGCTGGGGCGATCAAAGGGTTAACTGTGTGATGTGCTGTGTTTTACTAGGGATATATGCTGCTGTGTATTTCTGTGCTGTGCAGAGAAATACACAGCAGCATGTTATTGCTGGCAGGAGAGAGACCTGTGTTGTTTCTGGCGATCTCCGAATGTAAGCGGGGAATCTCTGTCTGGGACTTGGTGATCGATATCTGTATCCGCCAATGGCGGCGGGGGCAGGGCGGTGCGCGATCCTACCCAGAAGTGCAAATTACGTATATATACGTGATTTTGCACAGCCCTGCCACTCTGTAGCAGTATTTCTGCTATAGGGCGGCAGGGAAGCGGTTAAGATGATTTTCAACATTCTCACTCCTGGCTTGTTTAGATGTGCAGTAGCCCTTTCCACATCCATAGGTGAAAGGGAGGTGATATGTTGCCTCCTAATTCCTGTTTTAATCCTCAAATGCCACAACTGGGGTGGTTGTGTAGCAGCCCCTTTAACTTGAATTGGTCCCTTTCCATTGTAGGGTTGCCTGCTAAACACAACCAGGGCTTTAATTTTGGATATGGCTGTGAAGCAAAGCATTGCAATCTTGGCATGTGTACAGCAGTAAGTAGCTGCGTGTCCTAGTTCAGATGGGTGAGGTGGGGGGGTGTTGTAAAACGATGGCTCAAGTGCTTGCTTTTACTGCCCCCTGGCCACACATTTGAAGAAGCCCTAATGCTCAAACTGGAGGTAAAGGCTTGAATAAAGCTTGCCGAAACCTCTGCAAATTATTTGCAAAAGCTTTCTGTACACTTTGCTCTGATACAAGCTGAAGCCTGTGTGAACATGTCCATTCCTGCTACAGGCGCAGCAATACAGTATGTAGAAACATAACTTTGGCCTCATATGAAAGTGTCTGTCTGAATGGAAAGTGCTTGCATTCTCTATGACAACCAACCAGATTCCTGCTGCTATTTAGTAGATGAAATGAAAACTGTGACTAATAGGAACACAGTAATCTGCTTTTCATACACATTCACAAAGAAGGACAGTACTGTTGTATGGAACGCGTAGTCTGAAATATTGTTTAACCTGAAAGGTGAGATGTTGTTATGTGCATGTGATATGTGAAATATATATTTCTGTAACAATAAAATTTGAATTGAAATGACTGATTTGTACAAGTGCACCGAGCCTTTCCTGTATACAGGCCTCTGGTGACATACTGACAACCAGGGTCTGCTTGAAATAAGCATGGAGGATTAACAGTCACCCCTGATGAACGTCTGAAGAGATTAGCCTGGAATCAACAGGATGAAAATATTTGATTGATTGGTTGGGGCTATAGCCTGCTGCTAATCATTGCCCACCTTTGGCTTGGCCTGACAGTAGCATGCTCTCCTTATAGAGGCACATTCAAGGTAAACATATAAAAAAGCATTTAAAAGAGAAGTATGGATTTTTCTTTTTGTAGCTTTATCCTATTCCCTGTGAGCTGCTAATTCATTAAAATATTTCCATCCCTCTGAGAAGTGCACCCTTTCTGGTAAAATCAAGGTAAGTACCTGTGGGAGGGGCTTCAGTCTTCTCAGGATTCTTGTGAGGAATGGACTTGCCAGTAATGGTGGGACTCACCTGCCTTGTGGGCTGCAGTACCAGGGCTGGCCAGTGGGTGCTCCCGGCAATCAGAGACTCAACCCTGCAGCCAGCCAAACATCTGAAACTGATCATGCAGGTGTATTTAAGGGATGGCCAGACCTGCAGTCTCTGCCTTGGTGTGTGTTTTTCCTGGGCCCTGTATCTTGTTCCTGCATTCCTGTTCCTGTTCCTGTCTGATTCGTTGCTGACCCTGCCTGATTCCGGACCTCTGCTGACTTCTCCTGTTTCATCCCTGGCTTGTGACCCCGACCATTCTCTGCCTGACCCCCTGTTCCTACCTGCCCGATTGTTATTGACCCGGCCTGCCTGACGACGCTTGCATTGTATATATTGTTATCTGTGGTGGTTTGGTTTGGTTCGTTTGCACTGTGTTATGTTTTAGTATTGCACTGCGTTTATGTTTGTATTGTTAGTCTTTAATAAATTGTCTTATTGTTTATAACATATCTGAAGCCTGCGTTTCCCTGCGTCAGTCACATACCTCTGGTCACACCCCGGAGCCCTGACAATTCTTATGCCGACAATCTTGTCTGGATCCACCTTCTTTTCTTCTCCTGTGCTTGATTGATGTTGGCTCTGGGCTGTCTGCTCTCCCCCCTCCTCTCACACAACACACAGTTCAGCTCAATTCTCTTAATGACACCATCTATCTGCACACTGTGTAGCTGCCTGCTATGCTGCACTTCTGACATGTAAAGTTCTCAGATAAAAATGGCTGTGTGCTGTGAAAACCCATACTTCTCTTTTAAAGCTGAACACCAACCTTACCTTCCACTGTTATACATGCTCCTTTTCTGTACTAATACTACTGTAGTGAAATTGCTTACTCTGATTTCTCTGCACACTGTACGCTTTTCACAGTGGGCATTAGAAGCTGCAGCAAGTCAGACAGAGCCTGGCATGTTACCTGGCTGGATGACATCAACCATCATCTAGCGCTTTCCCCCCTAGCTTTACTGTCCCTGGCTCACCCATTTCATTAATTGGAAGACTACTATGTCTCACATAGTAGGCAATAAAGAGTGTGCCTGCTCACAATTTTGTATTTTTTTTTACTTTAGGTCCACTGGCAGGGATGCTTACATTGGTTAGCTTTTATTCATATAATTTAAAGCATGATCCAAAAAGGAGAAACAATGTTTCTGTAACTGCTTAAAAAGTATTAGCTGGAGGTGGGCTTTAACTTAGTCACACGGCCAAATCTAGGGAGGTGCTGGGGTGGGCTATGCCCCCCCAGATTTAAGTTGTGCCCCCTTTCAAAGCCATATGTGTGGGGAGGAGGAGCTCTGCTGCCTGTGCCCAGACTGTGAAGGGAAAAGGAGGTCTGCTGAGTGCCCTGCCAGCAGTGACCCCTGTCCTCTGCCCTGCCAAAAGTGACCCCTGTCCTCTGCCCTGCCAGCAGTGACCCCTGTCCTCTGCCCTGCCAAAAGTGACCCCTGTCCTCTGCCCTGCCAGCAGTGACCCCTGTCCTCTGCCCTGCCACCTTTGACCCTTGTCCTCTGCCATACCAACAGTGACCCCTGTCCTCTGCCCTTACCAGCAGTGACACCTGTCCTCTGCCCTGCCACCAATGACCCCTCTCCTCTGCCCTATCAGCAGTGACCCCTGTCCTCTGCCCTGCCACCAATGACCCCTGTTCTCTGCCCTACCAGCAGTGACCCCTGTCCTCTGCCCTACCAGCAATGACCCTGTCCTCTGCCCTGCCAGCACTGACCCCTGTCTTCTGCCCTACTAGCAGTGACCCCTATCCTTTGTCCTGCCAAAAGTGAACCCTGTCCTATGCCCTGCCAAAAGTGACCCCTATCCTCTGCCCTGCCACTAAGTGAACCCTGCCCTTTGCCCTACCTGCAGTGACCCCTGTCCTCTGCCCTGCCAGCAGTGACCCTGTCCTCTGCCCTACCAGTTGTGACCCCTGTCCTCAGCTCTGTTGTCCCCTATCCTCAGCTCTGCCGACTCCTGTCCTCAGCTCTGCTGTCCCCTACCCTCAGCTCTGCTGACCCCTGTGTTCCGCCCTGCTGACCTATGTACATTGCCCTGCTGACCTCCCATTCTCTGCCCAACTGACATTTTTTATTGCACTCCCACATCAGACAGGATAGATCCAGCCCTGGTTAGTCACTTATGTATAGTCCATCTAAATCTACTAGTCCATGTAATACTACTCTCTCTCTATATTGACAATACTGTTTTTCAAGGGTGGCTACATTGCTCTCTTGATAGAAACAGTGGAGGTGTGAATGTAGCCACTCTAAGACAAGAAGTGTGTTACTAGCCAGATTACCAGGTTAAAGTAAATGGAAAAAAGCATAAAAAAGAAAACTAATGCACATCTAAGGATTGATAATCTGCAATAAATTATATATTTACTGTATTTTTTAGATTAGATACACTTTAATTGCCTGCTTGGGTCAATGTCACTACTTTTGGCTTAGACTTTATGAATCAGCCCCACAGAGACATTGTTGAACCTTATTTTGTTTACTGTTTATATAAGAAACCCTATTGGGTACAGAAGTGTGGCTCACCTCCAATTGCCATAGTATGATCTACCTAAGCCTCTGAATTACAAATTCATCAGATGTTTCTCCAAGTTTATAGTGGTTGAGAGATTTAAGACAAGCAACTTCCTCCTCCTGCTTCTTCAACCTCCATGGAGTCAGTGAGTCACATCTGTAGTTGGTGTACTGTGAGAAGGTTGTGAGTCATTCCAGATGTAGTGTAAGTGTAAGCACATGTGCATACTTCCAACTAAGCTCTCCCACCAGATCCTAGGCTAAGGACAGGCTGAGAACAACCCAGGGCAGTGTTATGAAACGATGAGGATGATGAGTTTGTCATTATATTAAACACAGCCATTGTCATGTTGTCTTTTGTAGCAGGGAGTGTGCAAAAAAACCCTACATATTCTGAGTGTGCACTACAGGAGACCTGTACTGAGGGAAATATGGGAGATACCACTGCTGACCTCCTTCGAAAATGCCAGTTGCCTGGCTGTATCTTGCCTTAATAGTTTCTGCATCAGTGACCCAGAACAATCACACAGATTAAAAAGTCAGTCACATTGGACATTTTATCTGAATACTTGATCCAGATCAGTGACTCCAGGAGTACTGAGGTCTTGACAGGCAGCGATCTGGCATTTTCAAAATTAAGGTCCGTAGTGGGCACCTGAATATTCTCCCATTATAAGTTACTCTGATTATATTGGAAAGATGATGAGCAGTGTGTATAGAGCCTGATGCCGCCCAACGTATTAATTTTTGCCACCCCCCTCTGCATCACTTAAGAGGCTTAACCAGGCAGGGGGGGTCATTATTGCTGAATAGAGAAAAATAAACAGAGGGCACACCGGCCTAGTGCATTACCTTAAAAATGTTTTTTGAATGTAAATAATAAGCATTATACTCACAAATGATCAATAGTGGCTCTGAGGAAGAGGCTAGTCCTCGAAACGCATCGGAATTTTGGATGTCCAGAGTTCTCACTACAGATAGACACGCAGTGTGAATTGGACAGAGCTGTTCCTTTATGGTGTGCCTTTTATTTATTGATCATTTGTGAGTTTGTTTTTCTCTATTCAGTACTTTGGACTCCCCCGGTCCTTTGAGGGCAGTAAGGCGTGTATATCCCAAGAATTTCCATATGTGGTCTTAATGACATTGAGTCCATCCCCAAGCACAGGAGTAACTGGGTTTTCCACTTCTACACTGTCATTATTGCTGAGCCTATGGTGTTACCAGTATGGATACTCCGGCCTTAGTGCCATCCCCATCCTTCCTCTGTGAGGGTAACCTGTGTGTACAACAGTAGCAAGCAACCAGATTACACTTATCATTAGTTAGAGGAAGTCATCTAACAAAAGATAAATGCGTTCTGTTTTCTGCTGGTTGTTGTACTTTGAACACTGGTCTTTACTTAATTAAAACCCAACATTAGCCTTGTTTTAATTTTAGATACTCATGGAAAAAGTACATTTTTCCTATTTATTATTGCTTTATTTCCTAGAAACATAATCCAAAAAGCGTAAAGCATAAATTTACAAAAAATCTTTCCTAACGATTACAAAATGTATACTGATTGTAATCCCAAAAGATCCTAATTGCTAAGTCCATGTGGGCCACCAAAGGGAGTAAGAGTATGGCTGGGTACCACTGCATCTGTGGCATGTTTTGTCATCTGATAGTGACCTTCTCAAAAGTGCTGACCCACAAATGGTGAACAGAGTGACTCATGTAGAAAGGCACCTTCTGATGATGTCACAACATGTACGTAGGAAACTAATCAAACCTAAGTCATCTTGTGCACACCTAGAGACATTATTATCACTAAGAAAATGTAATGTACTGTATTCTGAACTGAACACAAAGCTAGGTCCTAGCAACATGTTAATTTTGATAATTTTTCAAGGAAGATCTTTGACAGTATACTCACAATTGCCCAGGGACATCTCTGTACAAATGAGATGGGAGACAATTTTTGATGAAATATCCTTTGTAGGGCTTTTTTTTCAGATTGTGGCTATTTACAGTTTTCATTTTTTAAACAAGGTGGTCTTTGGGGGCAAAAAATCAGTATATTTTGTAACCATGGCCCCTCCTCTATCTTGGGTGCCCCCACAGCAAGCATCCTGCTATGGGGGCACCTGCTGCTTGAGCGCCCTTCTCTCTCCTCATTGGCTATCTGGCTTTGATTGACAGCAGCGGGAGCCAATGGCTCCTGCCTGCTGTCTCAGCCAACGAGGAGTCGGAGACCTGGGACAGCCGAGGCTGTCATTCACATCGCTGGATTGCGATGGGACTCAGGTAAGTATTGAGGAAGCTGGGGGCACTGCTGTACACAGAAGGTTTTTTACCTTCATGCATAGGTAAAAAAACCTTCAGACTTTCCAACTCTTTTAACTGTTAATTGGTTGCTCAGGTATTGACATCCATCCAGTGGCTCTGCTGGCAATCAGATATCCCTCCCCTTTGCCCCAACAACTCTAATCTGCAAGAGAAAAGGTAAGTTGTTCTGTTTCAAATCCCGCTTTATGCATTGACATACTGCCACTAGATGTCAACAACCTACAGAAAACGTGGGGCAGAATATCAGTAGTACAAGTATTACAAAATGTAAGGCTTTTTATTAGTTTGGAGTAGCAGGGGGAGTGGGAATTGAAAGCTAGCCATGATCTATATAAGAATGTATATAGATCAGAATAAGAATTTAAGACTGGATAATGTGGCAACAAGCCCAAAACATACATTAGATTGCATCCATGAACCCAATTCCAGTCTTCTCATAGAGTTCAAACCTGCTGTGCCTTTTGATCATCCCTGTCATCTGGCGGACTATATTCAGCACTGTGGCATGGTTACCCTGCAACTGCACACCTGACTTCAACAGTAGCACTTCTATTAAGATCTGAGTATTCTGTCTGTGCCTGATCAAAGGTTTCTGTATCCTGTCTGTGCTGGTTGCATTTATTAACTTATCGCCTGTTTACAGCTTGCCTTATACTTGAAATCTGTCTCTCAGTTCATCCTTGGAATCTGCTGCCTCTGGATTCTTCTGGTTATAACATGAACTGTTTCTGGTTTATTCTTTCTGTCTGCAGCCTGCCCTTGCTGTCTGCTTGTTATTTAATTATGTTTGTCTGCTGCCAGCCCCGATATGCACTCACCAGATAGGAGGGCCCTGCTCCTTACTGGGTTGGATCTCCCATTGCCTTCAGAACTGCCTTAATTCTTCATGGCTTAGATTCAACAAGGTGTTGGAAACATTCCTCAGAGATTTTGGTCCATATTGATGAGTTACTGTTGCCTTTCTATGATTTAGAACCAGTCTGCCTCTGATGTCTCACATGGCATTTTTGTCCGGAATTATTAATTGGGGTTCTATATGGAGACCATTGAACCATATTGATACACTGCTCAAAAAAATTAAAGGAACATTTTGAAAACTCATCGGATCTCAACGGGGAAAATATCATGCTGGATATCTATACTGATATGAACTGGGTAATGTGTTAGGAATGTAAGGATGCCCCATCGTTTGATGGAAATGAAAATTGTCATCCTACAGAGGACTGAATTCAAAGACACCCCAAAAATCAAAGTGAAAACATTATGCAGCAGGCTAGTCCATTTTGCTGAAATTAAATTGCAGCAACTCAAAATGGTACTCAGTAGTTTGTATGGCCCCCATGACAACGTCGGGGCATGCTCCTAATGAGATGACAGATGGTTTCCTATTGGATTTAGGTCAGGTGAGCATGGAGCCATTCAATGGTATCACTTCCTTCATCCTCCAGGAACTGCCTGCATACTCTCCCACAGAGAGAGGCCAGGCATTGTTGTGCACCAGGAGGAGCCCAGGACCCACTGCACCAGCGTAGGGTCTGACAATGGGTCCAAGGATTTCATCCCGATACCTAATGGCAGTCAGGGTGCCATTGTCTAGCCTATAGAGGTCTGTGCGTCCCTCCATGGATATGCCTCCCCAGACCATTACTGACCCATCACCAAAATGGTCATGCTTAACGATGTTACAGGCAGCATAATGTTCTCCATGGCTTCTCCAGACCCGTTCATGTCTGTCACATGTGCTAAAGGTGAACCTGCTCTCATCTGTGAAAAGCACAGGGTACCAGTGGCAGACCTGCCAATTCTGGTGTTCAATGGCAAATGCCAATCAAGCGCTATGGTGCCAGGCAGTGATCACAGGGCCCACTAGAGGACATTGGGCCC